AGGCAATCGTGGATATGAGATCACTGGGAGGTTGAGGAAAAGAGTCGGTAGGAGAATCACGGCGCGATTGGCAAGATTCCGCTCTACACTGATGGTGGCCTCGTCGAAAGGAGAAAGTCTGCTGTATCCCCGGGATACAGCAGACGTGGTATCCCAACCCAATGGGAAAACACCACATCAGTTGTTTTTTGGGTTTGGGATTGATGAAGTCTGAAAAAATTGTTGATGTGGTGTTTTCCCATTAGGTTGGGATACCACGTTGCTGTATTCCGGGGATACAGCAGACTTTTTCCGTCGAAAGAGGAGGAGGAGGTGAGAAGAAAGGACTGTTGTTCTGTATATTGTGTTGGAAAATGAGTGGGGAGCACACCTTTAATTAAGGACAAGCTAATATCAATTTTTCAGCTATCTTGAATTTTTTTTATTATATTTTAGTACTTATAAATAATTAAAAGAAATTTTATATAATTTTTTTTATTTTGATTGTACAATGAAATGCAATTATTTTTTATTTTATTATATTTACATATCATATGATTCAAATTCATAATTTTATATTTTTAACAAAAATAAATGATCATTAAATTATTTAAATAATTAATAATATTATATAATTTAATATAATATAAATTGTATATAATTATAACCATAAATAAAAAGAAGGTCTCAAACGCGAGGCTTTCTTCTTCGGCAGTATTTTCAGGGTTACGAAGCATGATACTTTTTAATTTTTTTATTTTGTTAACCATTACAATTGGGATTAGGGAGGGGGGAATTGAAGCCAGTTCGTGGCTGGGAATTGATGCATTTCTCCTATGGGCCCCTTGGGTCCAGTGCGGGTCATGAAGCATCAATATGATCCAAATATTTACCAAACTAAAATAAGGCTATAAGGCTATAAGGCTATAACCAACTAACCAGATCTTTGATTGCGGGCTGCAGGATTTATCTTGGGCCATTGACTTCGGGCGGCACCAGAGTCAAGTCTAGAGTCTCCTCTTGGGCCCCAATCTCTGTTTTATCGGCGGTGGCTTCATAGGAGGAGGCGTCCGCCAGTGGCCGCTTCTCAACAACATTAAACCCAAATAGCTTGAAAGAGCGCTTTTCTACTTTCTCATCTGAAACACCAACTAGCTTGACTACTCCATCTTCAAAGCTGGGATGTAATATGCAAGTAGTTTCGCCGGAGTTACCGGTCGGTAAATTGCTGACGGTGGCAACAGAGTGCTTAAGAGATGGCTTATCTGCTCTCTTCACTTCAATCCTGTAGTCCAAATACCCTACTTCATCTTCCTCCTTGTAAAGGGTCACAACGTCACCCACTTTTAGTTTGTTCCTAAGAGCAAAGGGTCTCCACCCTTTGGAAAGTGCAGGCTTTTTGTACCCATTTTTGCGAGTTGTGCACGTAATTGGCCACACGGTGGTCCCCTGCCGGACGTGCAACTCCACTGCATGGTCACCTCCGTTGGGTAACAAGGAGTTCACAATCTTGGTGGGGATGGCCAACCTTCTGCGGACATCAGTGGAAGTTAGTGACTTTGAGAAGAGCTTCATCACTATGGAGAAAACAGAGGAGCTTTCTGGTATTGGATTTGGAATTTGATAGCATGGAAAGCTTTGAATGGGCATGTATATATACGAAGGAATTAAAGAAAAATTGGAACTCTTAGCAATTATTGCTAAACATCATTAATATATGAAAATAAAAATATTTAAAGGGATTAGTATTTATCTATTTTATATTTTAAAAATTATGA